GGCTCCAGGCTCCGAGCTGGCAGTCAGCACAGAGCCCGACGCGGGGCTCGAACCCACGAACCGCAAGATCATGACCTAAGCGAGAAAGTCAGACGCTTAACCGACTAAGCCACCCAGGCGCCCCTGCCTCTTCTGCTTCTTGCCAGTGTGTTTCTTACTTCTTGGTCCTTGTGTTTGGGGCTGTCCGTGGGGCAGAGACCCCTCCCTACCCCAGGCCCCCTCTCTCCCGTTCAGCACTGCTCCACCCCCCGGGGGGACCCAACCCCTCACCCGGGGTCTCCTCTTTCCCTTCTCCACCCTGGGGCCTGAGGCAGCGGCCCCTCCCGCCTGCCGAGCAGGTTCCCCTCTCAGCCTCGCCCCGGGTGGGCGTGAGACGACAGGATTGCCCTGGGACCTAATTAGGACCAAGTGCAGCCCCAACAGCCAGAACCCCCAAACCATCTCCTGAAGCGAAGGTGGGTGCTTGGGGACCCGGGGGGGGGTCTCTGCAGTTTGCTGGAACAGCAAGGGGGGGTCACTGGGTCCCCACACTCTTCTGGCCCCCACTTGCTCTTGGCCACTAGGCTCTGCTCCAGGTCACGTGGGCACTTTACACGCAGGCCAGGCACCGTGTGCCCCGGGTACGAGGCCCGCAGCACCCCAGTCTGCCAGCCCTCAGGGTCTCAATCAGCTCAACCCGGGAGAAGCCCTGGGGCCTGAGGCTGTTTGTTAAGAACCGCGTCCCTGAGGCCCAGCCCCCCCCCTCCCCCCTCCCCCGCCGCCAGCAGGGAGGTGACGCAAGGTGTGTGTGGAAGGGGCGCTGAGAGGCAGGGCGGAACCTGTAGGCCTTGTGGCCTGGAGAAGGTAGTGTGCAAGGGCAGTGGCGTCAGACACGGGGCCGTGGGGCCTGAGGAGGTGGACGAGGGAGCTGGCGGCCAGGACCCCAAGCAGCGGGCGCGCTGGCAGGAGGCCGGAGCGCCCTCCCGGGGCGGCGGGGCCGCAGGCGCGGGCTGTTTTGGAAACCAGCAGGTGTGGTGAGGCGCGCGGGGCGGCTGCCTGGTGCCGAGGACCCTGGAGCTCTCACTGTGACGTCTGTCGGGGACCTGCTCGGCTCCGCTACATTCCCCTGGGCATCTGCCCAAGTCTCCTGCCCAGGCCTGCTCTGGAGTGCCCTGGGGGGGGGGGTGGCTCAGCCTGCTGGGTCACCCTCATAAGGGCCCGTCTGTCTCCCCCCACTGCCCCTCCAGCAGCCCCTGGTGGCCGTGGGGTCCAGACTGTGGTGCCCGGACTTCTGGGAGGCACAATGCGGAGGAAGCCCTTGAAGAGGGTGCAGGGTGAGGGGCTGGGGATCACCCCTGACCCAGAACCACCCGGGGCACGAATCAGGCCAGGGTGAGGGGTGCCCCGCCTCTGCCACCTGGCCGCGCCTCACAGGCCATGGGTGCTGCCTTTGGCTGAGCTATGTGGAGAGGCAGGGCAGGCGGTCGCCCCTCTGCAATGGGCTTCACCCTGAGCCTATTTCCCCTCCGTGCAGGACAGACCTCCAGGCTCCTGCGCCCCCCTGGCTGCTGCGCCCCCCTGGCTGCTGGGCTCCATGGCTGCTGGGCCCCCCTGGCTGCCGCGCCCCCTGGCTGCCGGGCCCCCCTGGAACTCCACTGCAAAAGTCTGACGCTTTATATATGTATACATATTACTATTTCTATTTTTTATGTTTATTTATTTTTGTGAGAGAGTGAGAGTGTGCGCACACATGGGGGAGGGGCAGAGACAGAAGGAAAGAGAGAATCCCAAGCAGGCTCTGAACTGTCAGTGG